AGTTAGTCCGGTTAATCGAGGTTCTACTGTAGTTCACATAATAATTTTTTAAGTTCCTAAAAAAATGTTTCAAAAGCAAAAATTTTATTTTCAGAATTAACAGTTGTAAATTTTATCTAAATAACTGAATCACAATTTTAGTTGATTAAGTCAATTTTTACACAATTCAGGATGCCTTGAACTTGCCTTAAAGCAAAATGACATTATCATCCAGTTTTTTATATACTAGTCATATTTTACTCTTTAGTTAACTCATATATTTATAGCATTATGAATTGAATCATTTCAACTATATTAAAATGAACTTTACAAATTTGGCATGCATACATAATATACTTAGTCAAAACAATACTTTTGATGTAACTACTATGTTCAAGCTAAGAGAAATTTATTAACAATGATTTAGTATTGTAATTTTACAATAAAAAATATAGTAAAGATATCAAATATTTGCATGAAATGAATTTAATTTGTAGTAAATTTCAATTGTAATTATAAATCACACTAACTTACCAATCAGTGACTTAATAACTTCCAAAATATTCTTTGGGGTTATTGTATCATTAATTTCTTGATTCAATTCTACTATCAGTTTAGCATAACCTTCACTTTCTTCACGATATAAATTGAATTTTCTTTGTTTGTAACTAAAAATATATTTCATGTCAAAAATGTAATAAAAAGTGATACATTTTATGTATGGTCATAAAAACTTACTATAATTTAGTTTTTATTTTTATAAATTTTGTATAGAATGTTCTAGATGTGCTCAAAATCCCAGCTTCATTTAATGTATCAATCTCTAGACGTTCTTTCAAGAGTTTGTCAGAGAGAAACTATAACAAAAATGTATATTACATTTATTATCTATATGAACATATAAAGTACTGGCGTGATATATGTTGTATAAAATGTATCAAAGCACAAAGGGTTAAATTGAACAATTTTAATAATAATCAGGAATAATTCCCTTATCATATTGTCTTTTTATGCTAACCTTTTCAGTATCTTTAGTAATTTGACAGAAAATCTGCCTTTCCTCTGGATCACTTAATGCTGTTTCTGCATCTAATATATTTAAAACATCCAAAATAATTGATGGTAAATCATTGTGCAAATGCTGAAAATAATAAAACAATGCAATATAAAGAAAAATATGCAAATAATATAATATAATGATGCTTACGCATAATTCACCAACTGCAGAACTAACTGCATCTCTCCTTATGGTGCCTTTGATGCCGTTTGAAAATAACTCATATATAGCTCGGCCCAAGCCAGTTAGTTTGCCAGATTTTGATAATAATGGTGTCCTAGCATTGTCTTTAATTGTAGCTTTACATTGTTTTAAACTGAAAAATATTATAAGAAATTAGAGAAAACATCATGCACCATCATTAAAGTATAACATAAAAAATAAACAAGCTTGCAAAAATATGTAAATGTACTAAAGTTCGACCTAATTGATTATTACTATTATACTTCGAGGCTTGATGTTATAACATATTTTATTTCGACACATTTTTCTGAAGCCTTCTGGTTTTTGGTTAGGTTAAATTTGCATAACCAAGACAAAAAATAATAATTAAAAGTGTCTTCACGACTGCTACTAACTCATTATATTATATCAATAACATTCTCTATATATTGTTACAATTTATAGAATAAACAACACTCACAATTCTGTTTTACCAGATCTCTCCCAAGTTTTCCATGTTTCACTATTTACGTTTATAGACATTTTTATAAGTGCTTTATGAACATAGTTGTTTTAAAACAACGTTTTAACTTTTCTGCCTTGCGATAATAACCTACAACGCTGTTTGTTAACTATAACTCTCACAAGTAATCAAACAAAATTTCGTACAAAGTGACAAAGTCAAATCGACTTGGAATAAGATACAAATGCCAGAATGCCAGAATCTAGTTTCCATAGAGTAATAGGTTGTTAAAAGCGCGTAGATAGGACATTGCGAAAGAAATTTCTAATATTAATTTGGCCGAAAAACTTTACACCTAAAATGATTTCGGCCATAATGCGGCTTTCAGTGGCGCTACATTTGAATAAAAGAGCTAAATAATTTAATTTGATTTTTAATCAAATAAATTAATTGAATTTAATATAATCGTCGTGAAAGGCAATATTTTTTGAAAAAATATTTTTAAAATACAGTGCATTAGAAAATTATATAAATTGTCAACTTTTATTTCAAGATTTTAATCTTTTTAATCTTTCGAGTAATCTCAGTTACTTTGGAAATTATAAAACCTAGGAAGTCCAAAAATTAGTTTTAAGGTACGTTAGAATAAAAGTTGAATAACGGCGTTTTTTCTATTAAACCCTGAAAGAATATAAATGTTGATGCTGCACATGCAAAGATTGGTAACTGTTTAAAGTTTCGCTGTCTGGTATTTTTCACTTTAATATTTTGTAGAACATGGAAATGAATTGATATAACCCTAGACAATATAATAATATTAATTAATGGATTTAACATAAAAGTTACAGCCTAAACAGTTATAACTTATCTTGATGTATAATATAACATATTTATTCACTGCATGGCAGGGGTATGATGTTCACACATTGTATTCTGTGTAATTGCAATTAAAAATATAAATGCTGACTATTTGAAAGTAAATATAATCAATTAATAGACCAAAATCATATAAGCAAAATGAAAGTAAAACATCCACATCCTTTTTAAATATTTTATACAATATAACAATTTCAATCATTTCATTTGCATAGATTTCATTGATGGACATACAGTAAGGTTTCATTAATGCATTGGGTTATTTTGTGTATCAGAAGTTGTGATTGTAACTCCCCTACAAATTGTATCTACTTATTTAAATATTCTTAATTATTAATATACTTTTCTATGCTACATTTTTTTTTGAAAAATGACCAATTTATATAATGCTATACTTAATATTTATTACATTTATTCAAATTAAGAGTACATGCATCATAAAATAGTGTACTTTTCGTCTAAATGATCATAATGAATCCTTATATACAATACGATTAATATCCATCATATTGTTACATATTTGAAATAATGTACTATTAACTTGAATAAAAGAGAAAGTATAAAGTGCAAATGCTTTTGCAATATTTCTGTATCAAACAGTATCATTTCTCACATTCGGTCTATGATATTGAGAAGTAAAAGAATCGACATATAGCAAATGATGAAACCAAATATTTGATATTGTAAATTTACTTATGAAAGCATAAAGCACATTGAGTTAGATATTTTTTAGATTTCTAGATTTTATAAAATCACTGATGTACAGGATCATCAAATGAATTTTTATATAGTATGATTTCCATACACAAACATGTTTCAAAAATGTGATATTTTTATTTTACACAAAGATAAACAGCATTAATGTTTTTGTTTAGTATTAAAGTAGATATAATTGCCGTGTATCATTCGTCGTGAATCTTTGTGAGACAGTGAAATATGAAAATCATAAATTTCTAATGTCCATAGAACGACTATAACTCCTAATTATGTGTACATAATATAATAGTTTTTCAGGTCAATATTATTCTTTACTTTGTAATATATCTTTAATATAATATTAACAGTTACTGGATATAATAAAATTACGGTTTAAACATACATTCTTTTTTCAATATTAATCTTTCTTTGACAAGAAACATTACTTGAATATTTATGTCATAGAAATAATAGATTTCTTCTCTTTTAGATAAAATACATGTTTAAATCTAATTGTACACAGCGACGACAAATAGTTACAGAACCAAAATTAATCCTACATATATTATGTTATATTTTATTTAATTCATACCACCTCTGCAAACACACTAGGGTCATAAATTTAATCATTCAATTTATATCAAAATATTTATGCATTTTATACATGCGTGTAAATATTCAAATATAAACTCATTTATATTCATTTGCTAATATACATTTCGATCAAAGCCATTTCAAAATTTTACAAGCAAAAAATAATCATTAAGATACTAAAACTTGTTCAGTGCAGTATATATTACAGAACAAAAAAGAACTTGCAACAAAAAATGCAGCTAGTCGGAATATAAAAATATATATTCATAAACTCTAGGCTGCTTTCAGAATATGGAGGGCAATTCTCTATTGTATTTGACAGGGCACAAATTATTACTTTATATGAATTGTAAAGCTTCTAAGCATCAATTTCACATAAAATTAATACAAAAAATTAAATGAGTTTAAAAAATTAATTCATTAAAATTAGTATATAACTAGATTTAATACTATGATATAAATTAGTATTTTTATGACAAAAAAAAAGAAAATAAAATGAACATGGTATGAACAAACATTATAATAAAAATGTTATACATATATAGCAAAAACTCATTCGAGGTTACAGGAATTATATGTTAATGCAATTCATCATTTACATTATATTAAATCATAAATTGAAAGAATGAAATTTGAGAATAATGAACAACTTGAACCAAACATTCTTTCAAAAATAATGACTAAACAAAAATTATGAGAAATTATTCAAATTAATATACTGAGAACTATACATCTAAAACATATATCTCTCAGTACTCTACAAAACCTTTCTTTTCTTAAAAATGCCATCGAAAGTCTTTGCATATTTCGCCAATAAACCAAGTCACACTATAAACAAATAAAAACTTTAACATAACTGCATCACACATACAACTTGTGCATGTATAAACTGATAAGTACACACGCACGAGCACTATAATCACTTTGAAACTTCATACACCGATTGATGTCATGTCGATGTGTGGTAAATGTCATGACAGATCACAGTAGCAGCAGGAAGGTTATAGGTTGCTCAGATTGTATCCTGGTTCTTGACACATGTATTACTGATGTTTCACTTGGTTTTCTGTGGCAATTGATGGTGGGTTACGGCTGTCGTTACAGCATTCTGCAACTGTGGTCCTGATGAGCTTGAGGACTCTATCTGCTTTCGGTGACTTATTTCCAAATCTGCTAAACGTTTCCATAATTCATCTCGTTCGCGCTCGCGTTTCTTTTCTCTGTAAAATATACGTTTTAGAAATATACCATAATTTTGTATCGAATTTGCATAAGCATAACCGGTTATGCAGCTAGTAATCCTTATTCAATTTAGATATACAATATGAACACTTTAGATATTTATTAGAATTTTTTTGATCATTTTTAATTAAATATATCGGCAATTAGGTACTTTTATTATACTTAATGGCAAAATTAGTTACTATATTTATTTCAAACAAAGTTTATTTTATCAAGGTATCAATATATAAATATATGACAGAGTGTCAAATTCTTTATTAAAACAATGCATTTGTAATTAATAATTATTATTGTGATAGAAAGAATAAATAATGTTGGTTTCAAATGACAAAATCTTGTATAACTTAAGGATATGTATTTTGACATTCAATTTCGCATTATTGAAGGTTTTTTTTTTGTTTTCGATAATGCCTTCAGATAAAATATTTTAAAAATGTTGAATTTTTGAATGTTGAACTTTAATAAAATGAGATCATGTTCTGTAAGACTACATTAGAAAAACAGCAAATAATAACGGATTGTATAATTTTTTTTTGACCATTTTTATAAAAGCTTTGAATTCAGATGAAGATTTATATTTTACAAAATAGTCAAATAATAACTAAATATCAAAATAACACAGGAGTTATCTTAACATTGAAATTATAATTAAGGAACGTCAAGAGTGAATGACACTGATTTTATAAAAAATTTACATAAATAGTACAAGAATAAAAAATATTTCTATAAACAAAGTCTAAACACTAAATGAATTATAAAATATCCACTTACTTCTGTCGTTCTCCTTTATAACTTGCAGTCAATTCATCAAATAGTTTACTATTCATTTCCATGAATGTTTTTAAGACATTATAAACTAAAGTCACAATTGTCTGATTCCAATGCTCTTTTGAAATGCGGTACAAAGCCGGAAACATTATGGGCATAATTACATGATTGTTTTCTTCAATAAGTGACATAACATATTCATTATTCCAATAATATAAAGCTCTCTCAGCAACCTACAAAAAATTAAAATATTATATACAATACAACATTGAATGAAAAAAAAAAACTATTTTAATATTTCTAACTTTGTAGAGTACTAGTTTTATTTTTGAATTTGGGAAATTTATATGTATGGTATTATCTCATTTTAATTCAGCATTCTCAATTTAAAATTAAATCTAATTCCATTTAAAAGTAAAATATTTATATATAAAACAAAAACAATTATATACAAATTATATATACAATTATATATATATATATATATATATATATATACAATTATATACAAATAACAAATTTTATGAATTGATCATATACATATTTACATAATAGCACGACAATTTAAAAAAATGGTATCTATGATACATATGCATGAAATAGATTTTATATAATCTGATAATTTCATACCAATAATTCATTCACGCATTCCAATATGCCAATAATTCATTTTTTACCTGAAAATGAGGACTACTGACACATCTTGCAATTTGCCTGAACAATGGCTCTTGTACCCGAGCGAATTGTGATGGCTCTAGCACATCCATTATTTCCTCTATCTCTCCAAGAAACATGACCTAAAAGTATAGAAAATTATAAATTAAATATATTAATTTATAATTAATTATAGGTTATAAAATAAGTTTATGAGAATCCTGTATTTTATAAAATTATATGTAAACAAACCTCCTTTTGGCTGCAAGTTTTTGGCCAAAATTTCAGAAGACCCCTGACAACAGGTTCTGTCAAGGCAGCATCTTTTTCCAAAAACTGAACCACACAATAAGCTAGTTGTGCATGATACAACGATAAGCATTTCACTTTATGTAAAGGCAGAAGAACTTTTACCAAGAATTGCTTGTGTTCAGACTTCAATGGCAAAGCGAAACCATTTATTATGCTACAAAAAATGAAAAAATATTCACTCTGAAATACAGTGTTGAATAACATAATTGTACCAAACAATATTGTTGAATTGAATAACATAATTGTTAACAAAAGCACTTGTAAAACAAAGTAAAAGACGTACTAGTTTTTTTTTATAAAATAGACGAAAATTTAAAAGTTCTTTTTTAGCAAAATGTATTGTTGAATGAGAATAAAAAATCTAAAAATTTACTTACCTGCCAAGTATTTCTAATAGTTCACCAACTCCATTGAAATGTTCGGTTTCGTAAACAAAACGCAAAAATATGTTGTTTATTTGTTTGCGAATGAAGGCACGTAGGCCCAAAAATTTTCCATATATGCGATGCAAAACTGTCTTCAGGAAATCGCGTTCTCTTGGATCTTCCGAGTCAAACAACTCTAGTAGCTGAAATAAGAAAATAAAAATTAATAAAACGAGATATGTTATAGTACAACACTCTCCAAAAAATAATTTATTCGAATGCACGTAAATACTGCTATAATAAATTGTTTGTACTGACATCTTGAAATGAAATATGAATGATCTTATATCGGCTTATTTTAATTTCTATTCTATTCTATTTTAAACTAGAGTTTGGAATTTTCATTTTTATGTTTCCCATACGGGGTCTCAATTTCATTTTAAGAAATAAAACAATTACAAATAATAGTAAACAAATAATAAATAATAAGTTTATTTACTCCGAATGTTAGTAATTTTACCTGGAGAACAAACTTCTGATCGATGACTTTTTTGCCGATTGTCGGTTGAAAATCAGTGTTTTCCAAGAATCTCAAAAACAGTTCGTACACTAGCTGTAAATGTGGCCAGGATGCTTCCAGCGTTGGGTCATCCTCTTCGGGGTCAAAATCTGGATTCTCACTCGGTGGCAGCGTTCGGAATAAATTCGCAGAAATCTGGAAATAAATAATTGATCTATTTATTTAAAATATACTTCAATTTATAATAAATTTATATTTCTTCTTAAAATTTATGGTGTATCTTAAAGTACATTCATTTATTATATTATACCAATCGAGTTATTTTAAAAAACACTTTCTTTGTAGTAGTCATGGTCATTATATTGGGTTGTTCGGAGACTAACTTGGTTTTTTATAGACATTCTGACACGTAATTTTCGTACATTTTTTTGGTCATCATTTTTTAATTTTCTGGTATAAACATAATTCCGAAATCATAAATGTTTTGGTCGTTATTGGCAAAAAAATCAAAGTGATCAAAGTGCTTTTTGACAGGCTGATTTGAGGTAAAGGTTTTACCGCCTAAAAATTTTTTTAGTGACCGGGTCAAATAATGGTCCGATGATGGCAGGGCTGGAGAATATGATGAATGTTCATTGGGTCCTATTCAAGCTTCAAAAGCTTTTGGCGATTGATCAAACTTATGTGAGATCTTGCGTCGTCTTGATGCAGGACTATACCTTGCTTGTGGATTAATTCTGACCTTTATTCTATTGAAGTATATCATTTAGTTTATCCAGCTGATGACATAAGGCATCCGAATTAACTGTTATCTTATTCTGGAATAGCTGAAAAATAAACAACACCTTTAAAATCTTACCAAACACACAGCATCACCTTTTTCTGGCAAATTTCATCTTTCCCCTTATTTTGTGAGCAGGCTCTTGTTTTTTGTTTCGTAGGCAATTGCGTGTATTGTATTTTTTACATCCCATTTCAAATTCCTAGTGACAATTCGCTTCAAAATCTGATAATTTTCAAGACTTTTCAGAGGCGAATCGCGGACGCCAGTGCTGCGACACACGTTTCTTTCTATGAAAACCATACATTGAACTTCGAAAAAAAAAATCCAGATCTTTTCAAATTTCAGTTTGCATCAACTGATGCATTTCTCGCGTTTTTATCAGCTTGGACTTGGTGCAACTTGAACATCAAAATACCAGGAAAGAAATTTAGCAAACCAATTTTGGCACTGTCGCACTATCAACACGTTATTTCCGTACACAGGGCTCGCTCGTAGGTAAGTGGCTATAACGACTGGACCTGGATCAGGGGTCCCGTGTTCGATACCCACTTCGAGCAGCCTGTTGTCAGGCAGCACTGACAACGATTTTCACTTGGAAACATAGGTAGCAATATGTTTCCAAGTGAAAATAGCCCTTGTCCGGCATTGCTGCACTAATAAAAAGTCATCACTATCACAACAATTGTAATAATAAAAATTCAGCACATAGAGATGAGACAACTGTTTGGGTTGCCATCTATAATAAAACAAACGTAGTTTGTAAGAGATTCATCACAACAGCTCATAGAACCCATAAGTTCTGATCGATCAATTTCGATTTGACTTAAACAGTTTTTTACCTTTTCTATAGCAAAAGAGTAAAATATGTCAAAAATGCTGCTTAATTCTTTCCGTATTCAAAGTGGCACCATCCAAAAACTACTGCATGTCATTGATTAGAATTTTTTTTTACACACAAGCCTTAAAATATGAGTTTTCAAATAATATGATAATTATAGGGTTAAGTGTGTGATGTTAGGTTCAAAAAAATAGCTAAATTCAGGTGGTATAAAAACGAAGTGACTTTGCGAACAACCTTATAGTACATTTGTTCATTTTTGCCATGTTTATTACATATTCGGCTCTATATTTTTATTCTTAATGTACACATATCGACGTAGAAAATAAAAAAACTATAAAGAATTTGATTAACATTACATTGAGAGCTTTTAAAACCAAACGAAAAGCTCAATTCGAAGAATTGTGATCAGCAACTGGATAATTTAAAGACAGCGGTCCAAAAAGATGAAGGAAATCTTTAATTAGAAGGACATCATACTGCACCAGAATAACGCCAGACCACACGCTGCTTTAGGAACTCAAAAATTAGAGAATTAAGCAGGGAAATTCTGTCGCCTTTTGGGGCGGCCAAATCAAAAAAGAACAAATTTAAAGGCGGCCATGCACGAAAATCAGCCGTAATAAAAAGCGGTCGCATTGAAAGTCCACTGAATTAAAAGGCGGCCAAATTGAAAGACCGCTGGATTAAGAGGCGGCCAAAAAGTCCGCTGAACATGTGCGGCTGTGTTAAAAATCCGCTGAGTTAAGACGACCGTAGTCAAAATCAGCTGAAGGCGGCCGTATTCAAAGCTAGATCGAATCAAAAAGCGGCTATTGAAAGCTTTGTTTCCAAATTTTTAATGAGTGTATAAACTTGGTGTAAGGTGCAACTTTGCCTTAAGGGGGTATTCTACTGTAGAAGCATAAATTTTGCTCGGTTTTTGAAGCGCTGTATAAAGGAAACAAATAATGTTTTTACTATCGATTTTTTTATCATTTGTTTATTGATATTTTATTATTACATAAAAAAATATTAAAGAAAAAAAATTAGAATTCACAAAGTTATGAGCAGTCAAAGTGGGGGCTCAAAAAAAAGAGGTGTCCTGGCGTGCATGATTCCAATCCTCCTGGTGATCCGAAACATAAAAATTATATAGATTTTTAATTATTATAGATGCCGCTATCGAATGAACCTTGGATAGGTTAAAAAAAAAATTTGTTTGAATGGCGGCAGTTTGAAAAAAATATTTTTTTTTTCATGTTTTTTTTTTTTATCAATTCCGAATTTTTAAAAATACTAAATGAAAAGTTATAGTTTTGGGAAAGGTCCATGCGATAAAGCGATGTATAGAGAAGATCCTCTCCAAAATTGAAGTAAATTGGTTCATTAGAACTCGAGATATCCTTACCGCCAGCTCGAAAAAAGTAGTTCCAAGAAAAACGCGTTCAAAGTTTTGAGACTCGGTCGGACCCGAACCGAGGCCACATCACTAAAACGGAAATAACTCAGGAAATAATAGTAATTTTGAAAAATCTTTTTAATGACATATTTTTGAATAACTAAACTTTGAAAATATAAAAAAAAAATTCTATTTTTTCAAAATTCTACAGTAGAATACCCCCTTAAAGCAAGATGCATGAATTTTTCAACATGTGTAAATAATCGACTTATATATAAAAAATATATTAATTCATATCATTCATGTAATGGTTTAAAAATTAAATATTATTGAACAAGAAATAAACATGTGGTATGATCATTAAGAACAGGATCCAAAATCGCCAAAAAAATTTGTTAATCAATAACTAAAAAGCGACTCGACCCATCATTGACAAAAACTAATCAGCACAATTCTCAAATAGTACCTTTATAATGGTTTTTGAATTTTCAAGAACGATTCCCAAATTTAGACTATAACGTGGACGAAAAGTTTGACAACTTTTGACAATACTAAAGAAGCGGCTCGGCCGATCGTGTGGCAAAACTAACCAGTACGAGTGCTTATCCTATTGCATCACATAAATTTTGCCTCACATAATATTCCGAAAATTAAAACGACTTGTCGTATCGTCGTCAGGTGGAAATATTTAGTTATATTTGAGATTATGATCTCTATCGCCAAAAAAGTTTTATTAATATCATCGAGAAGAAATATTTAACAATTAAATTCGACGAAACGATCCGGCCTATCAAACAGTTTTTCAATGTTGAAAAACGATGCAGGATTTTTGGCTAAAACGTGTACAAAATTTTAGAAAGATTAGAAACGGCGAGACCGATTGTTGCACAAAACTGACTGACGGTAGTCGTTATCTAGTTACATCAAATGACTTAAATTTTTGAAATCGATTTAACCGTTTTTAAGAGAAAACATTGGTAAAAAATCAAAAATCGGCTCATATACACACTTATTATTCAAATTCTAGTCAGAATGACTAGAAACGCAGAGAAAACATAAAAATTTAAGGTCAAATTTTTCTGTGAAAACATATTTGATATTTTCCTATTATGTTATTTTCAAGGGCAACCAAAAAATGCTTGCACGCAGGCGTCCACATACCCAGCAGCGGCCCTGGTAGTACCCACGTGCATAATATATATACACAGACGTGTTCAGACTTATATTTTAGTCAAGACAGAATAAAATAACAGAATATAGATACATTTACCTTAAACGTTTCAGACCAAGACCAAGACCAAGACTAATCTATGCTATCCCAAGACTCAAGAGTGCATAATAGTTGTAACAATTGCAACTTACCATTTTAATAATTTCTGGATAAACAGGCTCCGTCAGTACACCCCTGCCGTGTGTCATATAGTCCACTAGATCGTTGAGAGAAGCGCGCTTTATTTCTTTGCCTTTCAGATCAGCCACGGGGTCCATGAAATCAAACGCCACGCAGCACTGGCGCAGCTTACGAATGAACAATTCTTCTTGCTCACCACTGGATACCTCCACTGTAACGAAATAAATCATTATTAGTGAATCAACAAAATTTAATTGCACATAGTACAACAAGAAATTAATTCACATAAGACCTGTGCTATAAGTTTCAATTCACCTGAAATCGTGTTCAAAACAAAAAGATTTGTAAGCCTGCAGAAACACCTTATAATATAAACTACGATTTTATGTTTATGCCACTATTTCTAAATATTATTGAAAATTATACAATACATATTTTATAGCCCTAACACCAATAATAATTGCTATATTATAATCTTACTAGCAAACCCGACGAACTTCGTTTCGCCACCAGATGGTTTCGTGAGAAAGATGAAGAAATTTTTTGTTTGTTTTATATTTGAAAAGGAAAAATTTGATTTTATTATACAACAGTAATGAATTTATTTCGATTACAAAAATGAAGTGTTTTTTAGTTGAACTTCTCTAAGTAAATGAAAGTGAATCCGCAAATTATCCGTTTCATTGAAGTGCTCTTTGGTAAACCACATTTTTTGTTTTTTGCTCTGACGTTAACACAAACAAAGCGGATAGTTTTCCAACACGTGAACATGCAACGTATAACTGCCCATGTGAAAAACAATGATTTTCTAAATAATCTATTTGAAATTTATCCCGCAAACACTAAGCGATTGGCCTTGCGACTTTTTAGTTGTCATTGCGAACGCAAGGCGAACTGGAAATTGCAATCGTTTGAAGTCAAACGGAAGACCAGTCGGAATCATTGGTATGTCACCAAATCGCCAGCAATTTTTGTTTTAATGGTGAAATTCAGTGCGTGTACATCATTATACTTTGCGGCAAGAATTGTTCGTTGACTTAACCAAGCATAATTCTGATAATTCTCACTAATGTGATTACTCGAATTTTTAATTATGGTGCGTGAAGTTCCAGCAATTTGCATTAGGGCACGATGCCATGCACCACTAATTTTCTTAGCTATAAACCTTGCGGAGCCCGAGACCTTTCCAACGAATGCAAAATTGTCGAAATCGGTTCGTGCGTTCTGGAGTTATTTCGTCAGGAAGGAAAACCCGACTTATTTTTATATATATAGAAGATAAATGGCATAATAATAAGGCCTTTTGTCAAGGAACACCTGGTGTATAAATTACATATCGCCATTTATCCAAACGCACAATTTCATGAAAAATTATTAACTTCCCATAGAAGTTATTGTAACCGCAAAAAAATCGAAAATGAAAATTTTTGTATTTCTTTACGTTTCGAAGGTTTCTGAACATTTTGACATACCTTAGAAAAAATTGATGTTTGTGTGTGTGTATGTATGTATATTTGGAAACAATTTTTCTTCCACGATTTCGGCCGCACGGATTAACCGATTTGAATGATTAAAAAACATTCGATTCCTATCGATAAGGAGACGTGCTGATTAGTTTTTGGCAAAGGCATGTCTAGCCGTATCAAAGATACGGTGCAAAAGGTGCCAAAGACGGTAATTCAGTTTTTGAGAGAACGAAGCGCGCAATTTGATTCAAAAAACATTTTACTTATATTGACGAAATGAAGAATTGATTAAATTTTTGGAAGGGTAGGTCTAGCGGTTTTGAAGATACAGAGAAAAAAGTAAAAAAATAAAATAGTTGGCAGTCAAAAATGATCATCAGACATATGTTCATCAAATTATCAGGTATTTTATAAATATTTTAAAAATGAGTACTAATTTTGTTACTATTTTTGATTTGGGTCCCGTACGACGATTTTTAATTTTTCAAGTTCACTTGTACGGTTCAAACAAATATCAAAATTTTCAGAAAAAAAAATTATTTCAAAATTTTCAAAAATATACAAAGTTTTATATTTGAATATAAATTTCTAATTTATAGAAAATTCTAATTTTCATAATAATTCTAATCGTAAGAAATATATCCTCAGATAGATTCATTCCGCATCTCTTTTTAATGTAAACATTTTCAAGTGTTTTAAGCGATAAGATCGTCGCTATATAATATGAGCGATAAAATATATAGTATAATTATCTATTTGAAAATAGATAAAACAATTGTTATTAATCATTAATCAATATTTATTGTTACTGGAGTATTTAATTCTAGTACGGGAAGTTTCAGCAATATGCCTTAAGGCACGATGCCATGCAACACTAGTTTTTTATATTAGTACGAGTACTTATGTGTCATACTTAAAAACCTCTTAAAATTGATCTGCAATCCGATTCAAGTTCCGGCAAACGTATCATGAGAAACAGGATTGTAATGAGAATAGTTAATATTTCTTTGATAAGGAAACTTGATAATATACTAGTTTAATTTGATAATTGTTTTAATTAATTTAATGTTACTATATAATTTAAAAAAAATCTATATTTTCGAAAATAAAAAGTAATGAGATCGTAATAAAAGTTAATCAAACGTAAATATTAGATATTTTAATGTATTTATATAAATGAATGCCTGTATCACGTACAAGACGGTGATTTGAAGGAAGAAAAGTACTAGCATAAATGTTGAAATACGTAAGTTTGATGGTTGATTTTCTGTGACAAATTCAATTAAAGAACTATCAGGATAAGTGCATTGATTTCTGCATTTCTGCATGTGTCTTTAATACTAGTTACACGAATACTTATGTGTATACATAAACATCAATTGATATTATTAATTCCAGTATTAGTGTATACATGAAATTGTAAAAACATCAATTTTAAAAGTAATTTACATATTGTAAAATTTGCAACGAAGCAAACTAATGTTTATTTAACGTGTTATGAGCATTCTTTGTTTATAAGACAGATACAAAGCGTGCAGATAAAAATATACCAAGTGAATGTAGTTTTAACAAAATTATAAATAGAAAGCAAAATATATCAGAACACTATTTTAAAACAATTTTATGAGCAAACTACAAGAAGTTTTCCAACCGGATTATGTTATTAGAATATTAAAAATTTAATAACTTAATCGAATGATTTAAATCATTACTATTTTTTAACTCATCGCTTTATTCAAAACAAAAATGGTTATTTAATACCAAATAAATTTCAAGAGCTATTTGTCGCAAAATCGATAGCTAGTTTTATCAATAAAACTATCATGAATTATATGAAAACAAAATAAAAGTAATATGTTAAGGAAATGTTTGTTTTCAATGACAGAATTCGATGAATGACTGTACCTAATCAATCAGCTGATTGGACTGTATCGTGCATAATTAATGATATATTTTAATTAGTAATTTTTTGATTATAGATATTTTAATCACGTATTTATTATTTATCAAAAATTGCTTATGTATTTTATAACTTTTAGCATACACATTAAATTATAAGCTGTAAAACTGCATGCCCATTTCGATATCTTATAAATTGTTTATGTTTCATTGATACAAATTAGAGACATCACCTAAAAATTAATACCGCAAAATTCAAATTTTAATGGCAAATAACATTGTGAGTTAATATTAAAATAAGAAATCAATTGTTAATGTTGGTGAAAGAATTAATCAACATATTATTTATATTAATTACAGCTTTATTTGATAAATATTCTCAGCCTGAGTTAACCTCGCAATCATAAATCAATCATTCATCTCCAGTTCGAATTTGAAGTGTACGATGCAAAGTTGCAAACCTAATCTACCAATTAGTGATGTAATTATTATTATGGTTTTGCAATACAAATTACACAAGCGTTATATAACTAATAAGATACTAATTATAACTAGATTCAACTGCAATAATTTCTAACAGTACTATTTAAAGCTAACCTTTAACTATTTATAAATAATTTGTCACCTTCCTAATTACTTGCTGTTTATTATAGACCGCTAATTATAACCAATTAGCTAAATCTACTTATCTTACAATTAAATAAGTGACTATTTGAAGAAACTTGCTAGCCTATATAGCTTAGAGCTATTTATAACTGTTTAACTAGTCAGTAACCTTTATAACGACGGTATTTTAAAGATACCCAAGGTGCGTTTTTTAAGTGAAATCATATTATATAAAATAATATTATTTAATATAAATATATATATATATATATATATATATATATATATACAATAACAAAGTCTGGTAATCGGGCATAACATCAATAAGAAACCGTACTTTTTTATTGATGTTATGCCCGATTACTAGACTTTGTTAATACATATGTCAACATCAAATTCAGAATCATACAATATATATAATATATATATATATATATATATATTTGCATACATATAATTGCGTGCATACATATAAGGAATGTTTCGCATAAAGAGACATGTGTTGTACATGTAAATTATCATTTTATTGCTTAAATCACCCTTGTTAATGGACGGTAGGCTCTTGATGTAATTAATGTACCGCCAATGTTTTCCAAAATTGCACTATAGTTTAAGAAGCAATTAAGTAAGTAGAAGGTAGAAACGTCATTAGGAAATAAGCAAAGGGTCTTCCATGTGCTTTTCTAAGTAATTTACTTTAAATATTAATAAGACGCCTTTTCACAAATAATTTGAATTACAATTAATTATATCTAGAACAATTAACCTCCCGAAGGAGAAGTTTATGTTTTAATCAAAAAATCCGATTTGTTAATTTTATGTTTTCTCGACGTTTCAAGCCATTCTGAATCGAATAAGACCAAATTTGGAAAAAGTATGTGTGTGTGCGTGTATGTGAACAGATTTTTTTGGCGATATATATCATGGTCTTATACAACTTACTGAAATATTACGGCCTAACGACAAGTAGTTTAATTTTAAAAATTCATCGAAGTTTGAGAAAATGAGTAGATTTTTTTATGTTTGTTAAAATTAAAGTTAGACGATTTACTTGTATAACGATAGAGTGTTCGTTCGTTTTCAATGATGTGTGATAAATCCACTCGAAATGCTTGCAATAACTAATAAATTAATTTATAGTTTATTGATTAAGTCGATTATTTACACATATCGGGAAGTTCATGTAACTTGGCTCAAGGCAAAATACTAATACCAACTAGTTATATTATTTTCTTTTGAC